ATTTTATTGTTATAAATAAAATAAACTCACCATGACAAAGATTAAACTGTGTGTAATTCTGTTTTTGTTTCTTTTTTCTAAATGTTATTTAATTTACGTCTTTAATTTGTTCAGTGACACGTTGGATTTTATTTCGTAATAGTTTTTTTTTTTTTTTTAAGTTGAATCAAACGTGACTAACTTGTTGTTGTTGTGGTTGTAGTTCTCGGTGACGTCACGCGGGGGCGCTGCGTCACACACGTCGAGCCCGGACCTTTTCCCTCCCGCTGCGTGTTTCCGCCCGGAGCTTTTTATTCCGCTGCACACGGAGTCGATCCGGGACAAAAATTAAACATTTTTCAACAAATTCTTAAATATTTTCGCAGAATTTCAGCTTGAGCTCGTGAGTTTTTACATTTCGGAGACGCGGCGGGAGGTTTGTGTTCAGTTTGTGTTGCAGAGGAGTTTTTGTGGCTCAGAGTTTTGCAGAAATGATCGTAAATGAGTCGCGTTTCCGCCAATTTACTTTTACGTTTTTATTTACGATTTTAATTCGATTTTTACAACAACAACAACGAATTCATCCTTTTATATCACGTTTAATTTAATATATCTACACTTCTAATAGAGTTTATTTCATTTTCTTGTTCTATAAATGTTTAATCTTTAACATTTTTTCGACTTAAATGTTTTTTATGAACGTGACGTCATTAATATTTATTATTTTAATCTAAAAAGATGAACATTTATTTATTTATTTATTTCATGTTTACAAAAGTCTTTGTATTAAAGCCGCACTGTGTCACTTTTCCGTCGGACGCTCGTCTCCGTGGAGATGTTATTGATTTGTCTGGAATGTTCCGTCGTGTGGCTTTAAACGACGCTGATGCAGACTGAACCGGAGCGAGAGCCGGGTCAGGTCTGTGGAGAGGCGACGCCGCCCGGTCACAACGTCTGAGTTTATAGAGGAACTTTTGAGGTTTAGACTCGGTTTAGTCTTGGTTTAGTCCCGGTGTAGTCCTGGTTTAGTCTTGGTTTAGTCCCGGTGTAGTCCCAGTTTAGTCCTGGTTTAGTCCTGGTTTAGTCTTGGTTTAGTCCCGGTGTAGTCCCAGTTTAGTCCTGGTTTAGTCCTGGTTTAGTCCCGGTCTAGTCCCGGTTTAGTCCCGGTCTAGTCTTGGTTTAGTCCCGGTTTAGTCCCGGTTTAGTCCTGGTTTAGTCCTGGTTTAGTCCTGGTTTAGTCCCGGTCTAGTCCCGGTTTAGTCCCGGTCTAGTCTTGGTTTAGTCCCGGTTTAGTCCCGGTTTAGTCCTGGTTTAGTCCCGGTCTAGTCTTGGTTTAGTCCCGGTTTAGTCCCGGTTTAGTCCTGGTTTAGTCCTGGTTTAGTCCTGGTCTAGTCCCGGTCTAGTCCCGGTCTAGTCCTGGTCTAGAATGTTCCACACTGTGGCATTATTAAATCCTGCTGTAATTTGAATAAACAAAGTGGATTTGTTTAAAGTCACACTGTGGAACATTCCGGACAGAGCAGAGACGTCTCCGTGGAAACGGGCAGGTGATGGACCCAGACAGAAAAGTTCCAGAGTGCAGCTTTATTTTTCCTCCAGTCGGACGCGGACGGAGTTTAAAATAAAACTGTTTCAGTTTCAGGTGAAAATGGACGAGGAGCCGGAACGAACGAAACGCTGGGAGGGCGGCTACGAGAGGACCTGGTACTCTTACTCTATTACTCTATTACTCTATTACTCTATTACTCTGTTACTACGAGAGGACCTGGTACTCTTACTCTATTACTCTGTTACTCTATTACTCTGTTACTACGAGAGGACCTGGTACTCTTACTCTATTACTCTATTACTCTGTTACTACGAGAGGACCTGGTACTCTTACTCTATTACTCTATTACTCTGTTACTACGAGAGGACCTGGTACTCTTACTCTATTACTCTGTTACTACGAGAGGACCTGGTACTCTTACTCTATTACTCTATTACTCTGTTACTACGAGAGGACCTGGTACTCTTACTCTATTACTCTATTACTCTATAATTCTATTACTCTGTTACTACGAGAGGACCTGGTACTCTTACTCTATTACTCTATTACTCTGTTACTACGAGAGGACCTGGTACTCTTACTCTATTACTCTGTTACTCTATTACTCTGTTACTACGAGAGGACCTGGTACTCTTACTCTATTACTCTATTACTCTGTTACTACGAGAGGACCTGGTACTCTTACTCTATTACTCTATTACTCTGTTACTACGAGAGGACCTGGTACTCTTACTCTATTACTCTATTACTCTATAATTCTATTACTCTGTTACTACGAGAGGACCTGGTACTCTTACTCTATTACTCTATTACTCTGTTACTACGAGAGGACCTGGTACTCTTACTCTATTACTCTATTACTCTGTTACTACGAGAGGACCTGGTACTCTTACTCTATTACTCTGTTACTCTATTACTCTGTTACTACGAGAGGACCTGGTACTCTTACTCTATTACTCTATTACTCTGTTACTACGAGAGGACCTGGTACTCTTACTCTATTACTCTGTTACTCTATACTCTGTTACTACGAGAGGACCTGGTACTCTACTCTATTACTCTATTACTCTGTTACTACGAGAGGACCTGGTACTCTTACTCTATTACTCTATTACTCTGTTACTACGAGAGAGACCTGGTACTCTTACTCTATTACTCTATTACTCTATTATTCTATTACTCTGTTACTACGAGAGGACCTGGTACTCTTACTCTATTACTCTATTACTCTGTTACTGAGGACCTGGTACTCTTACTCTATTACTCTGTTACTCTATTACTCTGTTACTACTGAGGACCTGGTACTCTTACTCTATTACTCTATTACTCTGTTACTACGAGAGGACCTGGTACTCTTACTCTATTACTCTGTTACTCTATTACTCTGTTACTACGAGAGGACCTGGTACTCTACTCTATTACTCTATTACTCTGTTACTACGAGAGGACCTGGTACTCTTACTCTATTACTCTGTTACTCTATTACTCTGTTACTACGAGAGGACCTGGTACTCTTACTCTATTACTCTATTACTCTGTTACTACGAGAGGACCTGGTACTCTTACTCTATTACTCTATTACTCTGTTACTACGAGAGGACCTGGTACTCTTACTCTATTACTCTATTACTCTATACTCTGTTTACTTGGACTGGTACTCTTTACTCTATTACTCTATTACTCTGTTACTACGAGAGGACCTGGTACTCTTACTCTATACTCTGTTACTCTATTACTCTGTTACTACGAGAGGACCTGGTACTCTTACTCTATTACTCTGTTACTCTATTACTCTGTACTACGAGAGGACCTGGTACTCTTACTCTATTACTCTATTACTCTGTTACTACGAGAGGACTGGTACTCTTACTCTATTACTCTATTACTCTGTTACTACGAGAGGACCTGGTACTCTTACTCTATTACTCTATTACTCTATAATTCTATTACTCTGTTACTACGAGAGGACCTGGTACTCTTACTCTATTACTCTATTACTCTGTTACTACGAGAGGACCTGGTACTCTTACTCTATTACTCTGTTACTCTATTACTCTGTTACTACGAGAGGACCTGGTACTCTTACTCTATTACTCTATTACTCTGTTACTACGAGAGGACCTGGTACTCTTACTCTATTACTCTGTTACTCTATTACTCTGTTACTACGAGAGGACCTGGTACTCTTACTCTATTACTCTATTACTCTGTTACTACGAGAGGACCTGGTACTCTTACTCTATTACTCTGTTATTAACTCTGTTACTACGAGAGGACCTGGTACTCTTACTCTATTACTCTATTACTCTATAATTCTATTACTCTGTTACGAGAGGACCTTACTCTACTCTATTACTCTGTTACTACGAGAGGACCTGGTACTCTTACTCTATTACTCTATTACTCTGTTACTACGAGAGGACCTGGTACTCTTACTCTATTACTCTGTTACTCTGTTACTACGAGAGGACCTGGTACTCTTACTCTATTACTCTATTATTCTATTACTCTGTTACTACGAGAGGGACCTGGTACTCTTACTCTATTACTCTATTACTCTGTTACTACGAGAGGACCTGGTACTCTTACTCTATTACTCTATTACTCTGTTACTACGAGAGGACCTGGTACTTTCTACTCTTACTCTATTACTCTATTTCTACTTACTCTGTTACTCGAGAGACCTGGTACTCTTACTCTATTACTCTATTACTCTGTTACTACGAGAGGACCTGGTACTCTTACTCTATTACTCTATTACTCTGTTTACTACGAGAGGACCTGGTACTCTACTCTATTTACTCTTTACTCTATTACTCTGTTACTACGAGAGGACCTGGTACTCTTACTCTATTACTCTATTACTCTGTTACTACGAGAGGACCTGGTACTCTTACTCTATTCTCTACTTACTCTGTTACTACGAGAGGACCTGGTACTCTTACTCTATTACTCTATTACTCTATAATTCTATTACTCTGTTACTACGAGAGGACCTGGTACTCTTACTCTATTACTCTATTACTCTGTTACTACGAGAGGCCTGGTACTCTTACTTCTATTACTCTGTTACTCTATTCTCTGTTTACTACGAGAGGACCTGGTACTCTTACTCTATTACTCTATTACTCTGTTACTACGAGAGACCTGGTATCTTACTCTATTACTCTGTACTCTATTACTACTACGAGGACCTGGTACTCTTACTCTATTACTCTATTACTCTGTTACTACGAGAGACCTGGTACTCTTACTCTATTACTCTATTACTCTGTTACTACGAGAGGACTGGTACTCTTACTCTGTTACTCTATTACTTGAGAGGACCTGGTACTCTTACTCTATTACTCTATTACTCTGTTACTACGAGAGGACCTGGTCTCTTACTCTATTACTCTATTACTCTATTATTACTCTGTTACTACGAGAGGACCTGGTACTCTTACTCTATTACTCTATTACTCTGTTACTACGGAGAGGACCTGGTACTCTTACTCTATTACTCTATTACTCTTTACTACGACCTTACTCTTACTCTATTACTCTATTACTTACTAGAGACCTGGTACTCTTACTCTATTTCTATTACTCTGTTACTAGAGAGGACCTGGTACTCTTACTCTATTACTCTATTACTCTCTAACTCTATTACTCTGTTACTACGAGAGGACCTGGTACTCTTACTTATTACTCTATTACTCTACTACGAGAGGACCTGGTACTCTTTCTATTCTCTACTTACTCTGTTACTACGATAGGACCTACTACTCTATCTCTCTATTACTCTGTTACTCTACTTATTACTCTGTTACTACGAGGACCTGTACTCTACCGAGAGACTGTACTCTATTACTCTATTACTCTGTTACTACGAGAGGACCTGGTACTCTTATCTATTACTCTTTACTACAGAGACTGGTACTTCTACTCTTACTCTATTACTCTATTACTCTGTTACTCTGTTACTCTATTACTCTTACTCTGTTACTACGAGGACCTGGTACTCTTACTCTATTACTCTTATTACTCTATTACTACTACGAGAGGACCTGGTACTCTTACTCTATTACTCTATTACTCTGTTACTACGAGAGACCTGGTACTCTTACTCTATTACTATTACTCTATTATTCTATTACTCTGTACTACGAGAGGGACCTGGTACTCTTACTCTATTACTCTGTTACTCTATTACTCTACTCTATTACTACGTTACTCTGACTACGAGACCTGGTACTCTTACTCTATTACTCTATTATTCTATTACTCTGTTACTACGAGAGGACCTGGTACTCTTACTCTATTACTCTGTTACTCTATTACTCTATTATTCTATTACTCTGTTACTACGAGAGGACCTGGTACTCTTACTCTATTACTCTATTACTCTATTTCTACTCTGTTACTACGAGAGGACCTGTACTTTACTCTATTACTCTGTTACTCTATTATTCTATTACTCTGTTACTACGAGAGGACCTGGTACTCTTACTCTATTACTCTATTACTCTGTTACTACGAGAGGACCTGGTACTCTTACTCTATTACTCTATTACTCTGTTACTACGAGAGGACTGGTACTCTTACTCTATTACTCTATTACTCTATTATTCTCTCTGTTACTACGAGAGGACCTGGTACTCTTACTCTATTACTCTATTACTCTTACTCTTACTCTGTTACTCTATTACTCTGTTACTTACGAGAGGACCTGGTACTCTTACTCTATTACTCTATTACTCTGTTACTACGAGAGGACCTGGTACTCTTACTCTATTACTCTATTACTCTGTTACTACGAGGAGGACTCTTACTCTTACTCTATTACTCTGTTACTATCGTTACTACGAGGACCTTACTCTTACTCTATTACTCTATTACTCTATAATTCTATTACTCTGTTACTACGAGAGGACCTGGTTACTCTTACTCTATTACTCTATTACTCTGTACTACGAGAGGACCTGGTACTCTTACTCTATTACTCTGTTACTCTATTACTCTTTACTACGAGAGGACCTGGTACTCTTACTCTATTACTCTATTACTACGAGAGGACCTGGTACTCTTACTCTATTACTCTATTACTCTATTACTCTGTTACTACGAGAGGACCTGGTACTCTACTTACTCTATTACTCTATTACTCTATTACTACGAGAGGACCTGGTACTCTTACTCTATTACTCTATTACTCTATTACTCTGTTACTACGAGAGGACCTGGTACTCTTACTCTATTACTCTATTACTCTATTCTATTACTCTGTTACTACGAGAGGACCTGGTACTCTTACTCTATTACTCTATTACTCTGTTACTACGAGAGGACCTGGTACTCTTACTCTATTACTCTATTAACTCTATTACTCTGTTACTACGAGAGGACCTGGTACTCTTACTCTATTACTCTATTACTCTATTACTCTGTTACTACGAGAGGACCTGGTACTCTACTCTACTCTATTACTCTTACTATTACTCTTACTCTATTTACTTATTATCTGTTACTACGAGAGGACCTGGTACTCTTACTCTATTACTCTATTACTCTGCTAATTACTATTACTCTGTTACTACGAGAGGACCTGGTACTCTTACTCTATTACTCTATTACTCTATTACTCTGTTACTACGAGAGGACCTGGTACTCTTACTCTATTACTCTGTTACTCTATTACTCTGTTACTACGAGAGGACCTGGTACTCTTACTCTATTACTCTATTACTCTGTTACTACGAGAGGACCTGGTACTCTTTACTCTATTACTCTATTACTCTATTATTCTGTTACTACGAGGACCTGGTACTCTTACTCTATTACTCTATTACTCTGTTACTACGAGAGGACCTGGTACTCTTACTCTATTACTCTATTACTCTGTTACTACGAGAGGACCTGGTACTCTTACTCTATTACTCTATTACTCTATTACTCTGTTACTACGAGAGGACCTGGTACTCTTACTCTTACTCTATTACTCTATTACTCTGTTACTACGAGAGGAACCTGGTACTCTTACTCTATTACTCTATTACTGTTACTACGAGAGGACCTGGTACTCTTACTCTATTACTCTATTACTCTATTACTACGAGAGGACCTGGTACTCTTTACTCTATTACTCTGTTACTTCTTTACTACGAGAGGACCTGGTACTCTTTACTCTTTACTTATTACTCTGATTACTCTGTTACTACGAGAGGACCTGGTACTCTTACTCTATTACTCTATTAACTCTGTTACTACGAGAGGACCTGGGTACTGTTACTCTATTACTCTGTTACTCTATTACTCTATTACTCTGTTACTACGAGAGACCTGGTACTCTTACTCTATACTCTGTTACTCTATTACTCTGTTACTACGAGAGGACCTGGTACTCTTACTCTATTACTCTATTACTCTATTATTCTATTACTCTGTTACTACGAGAGGACCTGGTACTCTTACTCTATTACTCTGTTACTCTATTATTCTATTACTCTGTTACTCTATAATTCTATTACTCTGTTACTACGAGAGGACCTGGTACTCTTACTCTATTACTCTATTATTCTATTACTCTGTTACTACGAGAGGACCTGGTACTCTTACTCTATTACTCTGTTACTCTATTACTCTATTATTCTATTACTCTGTTACTACGAGAGGACCTGGTACTCTTACTCTATTACTCTATTACTCTATTAATTCTATTACTCTGTTACTACGAGAGGACCTGGTACTCTTACTCTATTACTCTATTACTCTGTTACTCTATTATTCTATTACTCTGTTACTACGAGAGGACCTGGTACTCTTACTCTATTACTCTGTTACTCTATTATTCTATTACTCTGTTACTACGAGAGGACCTGGTACTCTTACTCTATTACTCTATTATTCTATTACTCTGTTACTACGAGAGGACCTGGTACTCTTACTCTATTACTCTATTATTCTATTACTCTGTTACTACGAGAGGACCTGGTACTCTTACTCTATTACTCTATTATTCTATTACTCTGTTACTACGAGAGGACCTGGTACTCTTACTCTATTACTCTGTTACTCTATTATTCTATTACTCTGTTACTCTATTACTCTATTACTCTGTTACTGTTACTCTAATACTATGAACATTAGAACATTTGTTGTGTTTCAGGGAGGTGTTGAAGGAGGATGAGTCTGGTTCTCTCAAAGCTTCAGTGGAAGAAATCCTGTTTCAGAACAAACGCAAACGGTTCGACTGATTTTATTTTTATTTATTTATTTGTATTTTTATTATTCTGATATTTGTTTTTCTCATCGTGAAGTGAAATCAATCTCAATCTTTTTTTTTTTCATTTCAGGGTGATCGAGAATCATGGACAAGTCCGTCTGGGAATGGTGACTGAACCAGGACTGAACCAGGACTGGACCAGGACCGAACCGGGACTGAACCAGGACTGAACCAGGACTAGACCGGGACTAGACCGGGACTGAACCAAGACTAAACCAGAACTAAAACAAGACTGAACCAGGACTAGACCAGAACTAAACCAGGACTAGACCAGGATTAGACCAGGACTGAACCAGGACTAAACCAGGACTAAACCAGAACTAAACCAGAACTAAAACAAGACTAAACCAGGACTGGATCAGGACTAAACCAGGACTAAACCAGGACTGAACCAGAACTAAAACAGAACTAAAACAAGACTAAACCAGGACTAAACCAGGTCTTATGTTTTCAGATGCGTCACTTGTTTGTGGTGGTGGACTGTTCCAGGAGCATGGAGGACCAGGACCTCAAACCCACAAGACTCACCTGCACTCTGAAGGTCCGGACTAGACCGGGACTAGACCGGGACTAGACCGGGACTAGACCGGGACTAGACCGGGACTAGACCGGGACTGAACCATTATTTTTCTGTTTTGTTTCAGCTTCTGGAAAAGTTTGTGGAGGAGTATTTCGACCAGAATCCAATCAGCCAGGTACAGAAACATGATTTATTTAAACCAGAGCTGTTCTCCACATGTTCTCCACATGTTCTCCTCAGATGTTCTCCTCAGATGTTCTCCTCAGATGTTTCTTTATGTTCTGGTCATTTCTGAAGTTCATTTGGACCGTTTGTGTTTGAGGAAACTTGAATCTCTTATTTTCAAGTCTCCAGTTTGTCTCTCTGCCTCCGTTTCACGTCCACCGTGACGTTTAGTTCTGATGTTTACACGTCAGCTCCACTGGACACGACCAGAGAAGCACCGATACTGATACCGATACCAATACGCACATCCTGAACCTGAAGCAGCGTCTGTTTGAGCCCAGTGCAGGACCAGGCGTTTACTCCTCTTCACGTTTAAACTCAATCTACATTTCCAGTTCTCATCATTATAAGTTCACGGCAGAGACGTAAACAATAACTGAAATATTCTGATCTCGTATCGTCAGATTCTCACAGTAACATCGTGGAGCATCGCGATAAATCGAATTACAAGTGTCTTTGTTTAAATGAAGAGTTAAAAACAGAAGAACTACATTTCCCATGATCCTTTGCTCTGGTTCAGTGCAGACGACAAGAAGAAACAACAGTTCTGACGCTTTTGACACTTTTACTTCTTTGGATTAAATCTTGTCGAGACATTTTAAGAGGAAAAAGAAAGATATTCAGTTTTGTTCACCTCCACAAAATATCACAATAAATATCGTACCGTGAGATGTAAATCGTGAAAATATCGCACAGAGATTTGGATATCGTTACGTTGTCTCATCGCAAACTTTTCCGCGACGTCGCAGTAAATGTGGTCGTGTGAGGTTCTGACCGTGACGATGTCGTACCGAGACACTTGGGCATCGTTACGCTCCTCGTTCACGGGGGTTAAAGTATCGGTATCGGTACTTGGTATCGGCGAGTACAGAGGCGAACGTACGTGTGCTCGTATCGGTATCGTATCTAACAGACGTTTTGTGTTTGTTCAGTTGGGAATCATCACGACCAAGAACAAACGGGCCGAGAAGCTCACGGACCTGTCAGGTGAGCGACCTGCAGCAGCGACGACGACCTGCAGCGATGACCTGCAGCGACGACCTGCAGCGACGACTCTGACGCCACAATCCTGGAATATTAACCTGTGTGTGTTTGTTTCAGGAAACCCGTCCAAACACGTGTTTGCTCTGAGGAAGGCGGCGGACGGCGTCTGTCTGGGAGAACCATCTCTCTACAACGCCCTGAACCTCGCCGCCGCCACACTCAGGTCAGTCTGACCAGAGCTCCGAGTCCGACCCGAGTCCGACGCGAGTCTGATTCGAGAGTCCGCTCCGGGTCTGTGAGTCAGACGATCATCTGACCCGGAGCGACCTGGAGCGACCCGGACTGACCCGGAGTCACATGTGTGTGTTGTGTTTTTGTTCAGGCACATGCCTGGACACACGAGCAGAGAGGTCCTGATCGTCATGAGCAGCTTGACCACGTGTGACCCGAGCAACATCTACGACCTCATCAAGGTCTGGACCATCAAGACCTGATCTAGACCTGATCTAGTCCTGATCTAGACCTGATCTAGTCCTGATCTAGACCTGATCTAGACCTGATCTAGACCTGATCTAGACCTGATCTAGTCCTGATCTAGACCTGATCTAGTCCTGATCTAGTCCTGATCTAGACCTGATCTAGACCTGATCTAGTCCTGATCTAGACCTCATCTAGACCTGGTTTAGTCCTGGTTTAGTCCTGGTTTAGTCCTAATCTCAGAACCTCAGCAGGGTTGGGTCTGATTAGTCCTTGGATGGGAGACCTCTGGGAAAACCAGATGCCAGTCCTGGCCCTGGTCCTGGTCTTAGTCCTGGTCTTAGTCCTGGTCCGGTCTGTGTCTGGTCCCGGTCTTGGTCCCGGTCTTAGTCCTGGTCCTGGTCTCAGTGTGTGTGTGTCCTCAGACCCTGAAGTCCCTGCGTGTGCGTGTGTCTGTGGTGGGTCTGTGTGCCGAGGTCCGTGTGTGTTCGGTTCTGACCCGTGAGACCGGAGGTCGGTACCACGTGATCCTGGACGAGGGACACTTCAAAGAACTGCTCCTGATGCACGTGACTCCGCCCCCGAGCGCCGCCGCCGCCGACTGCTCGCTCATACGCATGGGTAAGACTCAACGCCGCCAACGTCACTCAACGACACGCCGCACGCCAACGCCGCCGCATGACACGCCAACACCACACACCACACCGCACGCCGACGGCACACGCCACGCCGCACGCCGACGACACACGCCGACCCACGCCACGCCGCATGACACGCCAACACCACACACCACGCCGCACGCCGACGGCACACGCCGACACACGCCACGCCGCACGCCGACGACACACGCCGACCCACGCCACGCCACATGCCAACGCCACGCTGCATGACACGGCACGACACGCCAACGCCACACGCCACCAACGCCACGCGGCACGACACGTCAACGCCACACGCCACCAACGCCACACCGCACGACACGCCAACGCCACCAACGCAACACCGCACGACACGCCAACGCCACCAACGCAACACCGCACGACACGTCAACGCCACCAACGCAACACCGCACGACACGCCAACGCCACCAACGCAACACCGCACGACACAACGCCACAACGCAACACCGCACCACGACACGCCAACGCCACCAACGCAACACCGCACGACACGCCAACGCCACCAACGCAACACCGCACGACACGTCAACGCCATGCGGCACGACACGCCACACTGCATGACACGCCACCACACGCCAACGCCCTCAGCAAACAGTTGTTGTGTTGTGTGTATAAATTGTGTTGTTGTGTTGTGTGTATAAATTGTGTTGTTGTGTTGTGTGTATAAGTTGTGTTGTTGTTGTTGTGTGTATAAATTGTGTTGTTGTGTTGTCAGGTTTCCCTCAGCACACAGTTGTTGTTGTGTGTATAAGTTGTGTTGTTGTGTTGTGTGTATAAGTTGTGTTGTTGTTGTTGTGTGTATAAATTGTGTTGTTGTGTTGTGTGTATAAGTTGTGTTGTTGTGTTGTGTGTATAAATTGTGTTGTTGTGTTGTCAGGTTTCCCTCAGCACACAGTTGTTGTGTTGTGTGTATAAATTGTGTTGTTGTTGTGTTGTCAGGTTTCCCTCAGCACACAGTTGTTGTTGTGTGTATAAAGTGTGTTGTTGTGTTGTGTGTATAAATTGTGTTGTTGTGTTGTGTGTATAAAGTGTGTGTTGTTTGTGTTGTGTGTATAAAGTGTGTTGTTGTTGTTGTGTGTATAAAGTGCGTTGTTGTTGTTGTGTGTATAAAGTGTGTTGTTGTTGTTGTGTGTATAAAGTGCGTTGTTGTGTTGTGTGTATAAAGTGTGTTGTTGTGTTGTGTGTATAAAGTGTGTTGTTGTGTTGTGTGTATAAATTGTGTTGTTGTTGTGTGTATAAAGTGTGTTGTTGTGTTGTGTGTATAAATTGTGTTGTTGTGTTGTGTGTATAAAGTGTGTTGTTGTGTTGTGTGTATAAAGTGTGTTTGTTGTGTGTATAAATTGTGTTGTTGTGTGTATAAAGTGTGTTGTTGTTGTGTGTATAAAGTGTGTTGTTGTGTTGTGTGTATAAATTGTGTTGTTGTGTTGTGTGTATAAAGTGCGTTGTTGTGTTGTGTGTATAAAGTGTGTTGTTGTGTTGTGTGTATAAAGTGTGTTGTTGTGTTGTGTGTATAAATTGTGTTGTTGTGTTGTGTGTATAAGTTGTGTTGTTGTGTTGTGTGTATAAGTTGTGTTGTTGTGTTGTCAGGTTTCCCTCAGCACACAGTTGTTGTTGTGTGTATAAATTGTGTTGTTGTGTTGTGTGTATAAAGTGTGTTGTTGTGTTGTCAGGTTTCCCTCAGCACACAGTTGTTGTTGTGTGTATAAAGTGTGTTGTTGTGTTGTGTGTATAAATTGTGTTGTTGTGTTGTGTGTATAAGTTGTGTTGTTGTGTTGTCAGGTTTCCCTCAGCACACAGTTGTTGTTGTGTGTATAAATTGTGTTGTTGTGTTGTGTGTATAAAGTGTGTTGTTTTGTTGTGTGTATAAAGTGTGTTGTTGTGTGTGTGTGTATAAGTGTGTTTGTTGTGTTGTGTGTATAAAGTGCGTTGTTGTGTTGTGTGTATAAAGTGTGTTGTTGTTGTTGTGTGTATAAATTGTGTTGTTGTGTTGTGTGTATAAGTTGTGTTGTTGTGTTGTGTGTATAAAGTGCGTTGTTGTGTTGTGTGTATAAAGTGTGTTGTTGTTGTTGTGTGTATAAAGTGTGTTGTTGTTGTTGTGTGTATAAATTGTGTTGTTGTGTTGTGTGTATAAGTTGTGTTGTTGTGTTGTCAGGTTTCCCTCAGCACACAGTTGTTGTTGTGTGTATAAAGTGTGTTGTTGTTGTTGTGTGTATAAAGTGTGTTGTTGTTGTTGTGTGTATAAAGTGTGTTGTGTTGTGTGTATAAATTGTATTGTTGTTGTGTGTATAAAGTGCGTTGTTGTGTTGTGTGTATAAATTGTGTTGTTGTTGTTGTGTGTATAAGTTGTGTTGTTGTGTTGTCAGGTTTCCCTCAGCACACAGTTGTTGTTGTGTGTATAAAGTGTGTTGTTGTGTTGTGTGTATAAATTGTGTTGTTGTGTTGTGTGTATAAAGTGTGTTGTTGTTGTTGTGTGTATAAGTTGTGTTGTTGTGTTGTCAGGTTTCCCTCAGCACACAGTTGTTGTTGTGTGTATAAATTGTGTTGTTGTTGTGTGTATAAAGTGTGTTGTTGTGTTGTGTGTATAAAGTGTGTTGTTGTTGTTGTGTGTATAAAGTGTGTTGTTGTGTGTATAAATTGTGTTGTTGTTGTGTGTATAAATTGTGTTGTTGTGTTGTGTGTATAAAGTGTGTTGTTGTTGTGTGTATAAAGTGTGTTGTTGTTGTTGTGTGTATAAGTTGTGTTGTTGTGTTGTGTGTATAAGTTGTGTTGTTGTGTTGTCAGGTTTCCCTCAGCACACAGTTGTTGTTGTGTGTATAAAGTGTGTTGTTGTTGTTGTGTGTATAATGTGTGTTGTTGTGTTGTTGTGTGTATAAAGTTGTTGTTGTGTGTGTGTGTTGTCAGTTTCCCTCAGCACACAGTTGTTGTTGTGTGTATAAAGTGTTGTTGTTGTTGTTGTGTGTATAAAGTTGTGTTGTTGTGTTGTGTGTATAAGTTGTGTTGTTGTGTTGTCAGGTTTCCCTCAGCACACAGTTGTGTCTCTGAACGACCCGGACGCCAAACCTTCGTTCAGTTCAGCGTAAGTTTCTGTTCGACTCGACACGTTTGTGTTTGTCAAACTGCAGAGTCTCATCGTCCTGTGTGTTTATGTTCACAGTCACCTGGAGAGCAGCGCCGGTCCAGGTCCGGGTTCGGGTTCTGGTCCGGGTCCTGGTTCCGGTCCGGGTCCAGGTCCGGGTCTCTCTCTGGGCGGGTACTTCTGTCCTCAGTGTAACGCCAAATACACCGAGCTCCCGGTCGAGTGTAAAGTCTGTGGTACAACTCCATTTCACTTTTTCTTCTTCGTGTTCTGACCCGTGTTCTGGACGTTCTGACCCGTGTTCTGACTCGTGTTCTGACCCGTGTTCTGACACGTGTTCTGACTCGTGTTCTGACCCGTGTTCTGACCCGTGTTCTGGACGTTCTGACCCGTGTTCTGACCCGTGTTCTGGACGTTCTGACCTGTGTTCTGACCCGTGTTTTGGACATTTTGACCCGTGTTCTGGACGTTCTGACCCGTGTTCTGACCCGTGTTTTGGACATTCTGACCCGTGTTCTGACCCGTGTTCTGGACGTTCTGACCTGTGTTCTGACCCGTGTTCTGACCCGTGTTTTGGACGTTCTGACCTGTGTTCTGACCCGTGTTCTGACCCGTGTTTTGGACGTTCTGACCCGTGTTTTGGACGTTCTGACCCGTGTTCTGACCTGTGTTCTGGACGTTCTGACCCGTGTTCTGACTCGTGTTCTGACCTGTGTTCTGACCCGTGTTCTGGACGTTCTGACCCGTGTTCTGACCCGTGTTTTGGACGTTTTGACCCGTGTTCTGGACGTTCTGACCCGTGTTTTGGACGTTCTGACCCGTGTTCTGACCCGTGTTTTGGACGTTCTGACCTGTGTTCTGACCCGTGTTCTGACCCGTGTTTTGGACGTTCTGACCCGTGTTCTGACCCGTGTTCTGGACGTTCTGACCCGTGTTCTGACCCGTGTTCTGGACGTTCTGACCCGTGTTCTGACCCGTGTTCTGGACGTTCTGACCTGTGTTCTGACCCGTGTTCTGACCCGTGTTCTGGACGTTCTGACCCGTGTTCTGACCCGTGTTCTGACTCGTGTTCTGGACGTTCTGACCCGTGTTCTGGACGTTCTGACCTGTGTTCTGGACGTTCTGACCCGTGTTCTGACCCGTGTTCTGACCCGTGTTCTGACCCGTGTTCTGGACGTTTTGACCCGTGTTCTGACCCGTGTTCTGACCCGTGTTTTGGACGTTCTGACCTGTGTTCTGACCCGTGTTCTGACCCGTGTTTTGGACGTTTTGACCCGTGTTCTGGACGTTCTGACCCGTGTTCTGGACGTTCTGACCCGTGTTCTGACCCGTGTTCTGGACGTTCTGACCCGTGTTCTGACCCATGTTCTGACTCGTGTTCTGACCTGTGTTCTGGACGTTCTGACCCGTGTTCTGACCCGTGTTCTGGACGTTTTGACCCGTGTTCTGACCTGTGTTCTGGACGTTCTGACCCGTGTTCTGACCCGTGTTTTGGACGTTTTGACCCGTGTTCTGACTCGTGTTCTGACCCGTGTTTTGGACGGTCTGACCCGTGTTCTGACCTGTGTTCTGACCCGTGTTCTGACCCCTGTTTTGGACGTTCTGACCCGTGTTCTGACCCGTGTTTTGGACGTTCTGACCTGTGTTCTGACCCGTGTTCTGACCCGTGTTCTGGACGTTCTGACCCGTGTTCTGACCCGTGTTCTGGACGTTCTGGACGTTCTGACCCGTGTTCTGACCCGTGTTCTGGACGTTGTGGACGTTCTGACCCGTGTTCTGACTCGTGTTCTGACTCGTGTTCTGGACGTTCTGACCCGTGTTCTGACCCGTGTTCTGGACGTTCTGACCCGTGTTCTGACCCGTGTTCTGGACGTTCTGACCCATGTTCTGACCCGTGTTCTGGACGTTCTGACCCGTGTTCTGACCCGTGTTCTGGACGTTCTGACCCATGTTCTGACCCGTGTTCTGGACGTTCTGACCCGTGTTCTGACCCGTGTTCTGGACGATCTGACCCGTGTTCTGGACGTTCTGACCCGTGTTCTGGACGTTCTGACCCGTGTTCTGACCCGTGTTCTGACCCGTGTTCTGACTCGTGTTCTGACTCGTGTTCTGACCCGTGTTCTGGACGTTCTGACCCATGTTCTGACCCGTGTTCTGACCCATGTTCTGGACGTTCTGACCCGTGTTCTGGACGTTCTGGACGTTCTGACCTGTGTTCTGACTCGTGTTCTGACTCGTGTTCTGGACGTTCTGACTCGTGTTCTGATCCGTGTTCTGGACGTTCTGACCCGTGTTCTGACCCGTGTTCTGGACGTTCTGACCCATGTTCTGACCCGTGTTCTGACCCATGTTCTGGACGTTCTGACCCGTGTTCTGGACGTTCTGACCGTGTTCTGACCCGTGTTCTGACCCATGTTCTGGACGTTCTGACCCGTGTTCTGGACGTTTCTGACCGTGTTCTG